CCCCCCCCCCCCGCCAGCCCCCTCCTTGCCCTCCGCCCAACTCATCATTAATAATTCCACTTCAAACAAAGGATGAGTGTCAAACTGCCTTAACATCAAAGCAGGATGATTCATCAATGAATTGGTAGTTTGGGGCCTTACAAGATCGGGGATGAATGGAAGAGAAAGAGGAAAACTATCCCCTGTTGTTTCTGTTTCTTACGGCTTGGGAGAAAAAGGGAGCAAAAAACGGGGGGGGGGGGGGGGGGGGGGGGGGGGAAGAGGGGGGGGGAGGATGGCTTAAAATAAATAGCTCGATAATGCTCACTTTTAAGTACATTGCGGGAAATGTCCTTCTGAGGAAACTGGAAGGCCAGGAGAGCAATCCTGGCTGCAAAAGGAAACTATCATCGTAAGAGCTATAGAAACTCTCCCAGGTGAAAGAGAAGCCATGGTGTCTATGGCTTAATCAAAGGAAATGGAAACTTTATTCTTCCTTTCTCTCTCTCTCTCTCTCTTCCTTCTTTTTCTTTTTTTCTTCCTTCCTTTGATTTTCCTTTATTCCTTTCCTTCCTATCTCCTTCCTTTCTTTTTTTGTTCCTTCCTTTGGTTTTCCTTTGTTCCTTTCCTTCCTATCACCTTCCCTTCTTTTTCTTTTTTTCTTCCTTCCTTTGATTTTTCCTTTGTTCCTTTCCTTCCTATCTCCTTCCTTTCTTTTTCTTTTTTCCTTCCTTTGATTTTTGTCTGTTCCTTTCCTTCCTTCCTCTTTCCTTTCTTTTTCCTTCCTTTGATTTTCCTTTCTTCCTTTCCTTCCTATCTCCTTCCTTTCTTTTACTTTTTTCCTTCCTTCCTTTGATTTTTTTCTTTGTTCCTTTCCTTCTTTCCTCCTTTCTTTCTTTTTTTCTTCCTTCCTTTGATTTTCCTTTGTTCCTTTCCTTCCTATCCCCTTCCTTCCTTTTTCTTTGTTTCCTTCCTTCATCTGATTCTTGCTTCGTTCCTTTCTTCCCTTCGTTCCTTCTCCCTCCCTCTCTCGCTGTGTTTATCAACCTTGAAATTTTTTAAAAAAATGCGTGGACTTCAACTCCCAGAATGCCCCAGCCTCCATGAGGAATGGCTGGCTGGGGAATTCTGGGAGTTGCAGTCCACACAACTTAGAGCAGAAAGTGCTGCTCTAGGGCAAAAGAGACCCTCCCCCCACCTCATTGTTGTGGGAAAGGACTGCTGCTTGGAAGGTGGTTTGTTCAATTGGGCGATGGGTCTTTCAACAGGGCAGTATCTTTTCGGGGGAAATCCCTTCCATGCCATCATTGTTGACTGCTTCTCGTCCTCTCACGCAGACTTGGATCCTCAGGGCAAACTCAACGGCTGGTCCTTGCAGGGGCCACAGGTCAAAGGTCACCACTTTGAGGTTCCGGGTTGCGGGGTTCCCTGGGGTGGTTCCGAGACAGCCTGGGGAAATGGGTGGTTGCTCGCCGATGGTTGGTTTTGGTGGCAGGTTCTCCTGCAGGTTGGAAGTCCCTAAAAAATGGAAACAGAGAAATTAGGAGCAAACACTCCTAAAGGTGCTTTATATGCAACCAGCCTCTTTTTGCCATCATAGAGCTTACAGGGCTAGAAGGGATCTTGGAGGTCTTCAACCTCCTATTCAAGGCAGGAGCCCTCATATCATCTTCACTGAACGACCTCATATAATCCCTTGCAGCATGGACAACTGAATGGAGCTAGCAGAGTCATTTAATGGCCAGATGCCCTCCCTATCGCTAATGAGGAGTTTTATTCAGCAGATATTCATTCTCAGGGTGGCTAGAGAAGAGAAACATCTGCCTCTACCTAGGATTGAACTCACAGCCTCCTGATTGTGAGGCGAGAGCTCCACCTCTAGGCCACTGCACCCCTCCTGCAGGATCCCTTATATCAAGGGTTTGTTCAGTCTATTTTTGAAAAACTCCAAGCCACAGAGCACCCACAACTCCAGGAAGCAAACCAGTCCAACGTGTTTGCATCAAAGGTGGTGAATTCAGCAGGTTCTGACCAGTTCTGGAGAAACAGTAGCGGAAATTTTGAGTAGTTTGGAGAACCAGCGAATCCCACCTCTGACTGGTCCTGCCAACCCCATCTCTTCTCTGTCTCCCATTGAGTCCCAGCTGATTGGCTGGGTCTTCTTTGGTTGCCCTGCACAGGAGAACGGAGCTGGAATGCAGGTTAGTGGGGTGGGGAAGGAAGAGGGACTTTGCGGTATCCTTCCCCTGCCACGCCCACCAAGCCACGCCCACCAAGCCACACCACGCCCACAGAACTGGTAGTAAAAAAAAAAATTCTTGAATCCCACCACTGGTTTGTGTGGTGGATTACTGCAAAGCCGCTGGTACATTCAGCTCAGTAAACTGGTTCTGATGGAACATGAAACACAAATGTTACCAAAGGAAGACTTCTAAAAAAAATTTAAGCCATGCTCACAAACCATATTCAACGATAAACAAGTGTTATGAGATTCTCATGATAATCCAGTAGCAAAAAAGCTTACCAGCTGCTCCTTCATTTAAAAACAGATTGACAACCAACAGAGTGGCAAACTCTGAGACAATTTTGTTTTGTTTTTTTTCCCCCAATGGCTTTATGGATCTTCATGATTCACAGTTAAAAGGACAAGGAACAGAATAATGAACTGCGTATAATGATAACTGAAACTAGGCAGTAGCCACAAACATTGGTATCCTGAGAAGTTCTGGTTATCTAATAGGTTTTCAGGGAGTGGAAAATACTCTATATCCCAAGGTGCGTGATTCTAGGTAGCATATTCATTTCGATATCTGTTATCTAGAATTAAAAAAGATGTTGAGACTCTAGAAAAAGTGCAGAGAAGAACAAGCAGGATGATTAGAGGACTGGAGACTAAAACATATGAAGAACGGTTACAGGAATTCGGCCTGGCTAGTCTCGGGAAGAGAAGGACCAGGGGAGACAGGAGAGCTGTCTTCCAATATTTGAGGGGCTGCCACAGAGAGGAAGACGGGGTCAAGCTATTCTCCAAGGCACCTGAAGGCCAGACAAGGAACAATGGATGGAAACTGAACAAGGAGAGATTCAACCTGGAAATAAGGAGAAACTTTCTGACAGTGAGAACAATCAACCAATGGAACAGAAGTTGCCCTCGGAAGTTGTGGGAGTGCCATCACTTGAGACCTTCAAGAAGAGATTGGGCTCCCATCTGTCAGAAATGGTGTTGGGTCTCCCGCTTGGGCAGGGGGTTGGACTAGATGACCTACAAGATCCCTTCCAACTCTGTTAATCTGTTATCCACATAAGTATTTGGGTTAAATATTGAATGTATGTGTATGGGGGGGAAGGAAATTAACTCTAGCTTAGTTCACAACATTTGAGAAAAGCTTTACCGTTATCAGCTCGGTCTACCTTAAAATCCGAAGTTATATCTCGTGTAGCGGGGTTAAAAGCAATTCTTTTGATGCAACATGATGGCTGGCTCCACATCAGTTCCTCCCCTCGGGTTCCAAAATAAATTGAAATAAAGCAAAGTCTCCATCGTCCACAGCATTATTATTATTACTATGTTGGCTCTTTAGCAGGAATGTATATTTGGGCTGACATCCTTGATTGCTCCTTTTAACTCGGGGCTACAGAACTCAGACAACGGGCCATTTTTCTCCCGCATCACCGGAGAGCACACCAACATTAAAGACAATGCAGAGAAGATGCTATCCATCACTGTCCTCATATTTCCCGATCTGCTCCTCTTGAGCAATAGATAGCTTTACAGATGACTGTTCTTATGCTTACTGCTTTCCTTTTAAGGGGCGGCGGTGGGGAAACGAGATAGGGAAAAATGTGGATTTCGTCAGCAGACCAGCAAAGGTGTTCATCGACCAGAACAATCCTTTAGGATCTCAAGGTTAACCATTGGAGGGTGCATCTGATGCCGGCCCAATGAAAAGAATGATGGCCGCTATTGAAACGTCATTAGGCTCTCAACACAGAGAGAAATTCAATCGCCGTTTCAATAAGGGAAACTGTTGACATTCTAGACTATAGAGAAAGCCTGGAAGCTTGGCATTCCGAGAAGCCAGCCATCGACAGGCCCATAGAGATAAATGCCATTGACATGCCATTTTGAAGAGAATGTTTATAGCTCAGGGTTGAACTGTGGGGTGCCTGGTCCTCTCTGAGCTTAGTTATTTTCTTGCAGTGGTTTTATGCAATTAGGTGACATCATCAGTGCTAGAAGAGAGGGAGAGTTGTGGAAAGGAGAGGAGGAGGAGGAGGAGGAGGAGGAGGAGGAGGAGGAGGAGGAGGAGAAGGAGGACGACTACGACAACTGTGGGGTCCTTGATGCTCTCTGAGTTTGGCTGTTTTCCTGCAGATTTTTCATTACCCAACAACGTAAAGTCATCAGTGCTAGAAGGGAGTGGGGTTTGCCCTCCATTTATATACAAAGTGATTGTCCTGCCAGGGTGGGTGAGAATCGTCTTGGTGGTTCCTTGACGTTCCACTAGAGAATTCCTGGCACTCAGACAAATCAGCCATCAACGACAAACAGATAAACAACATCTACATACCGTTTGAAAGAGACGATCAACAACACCTCCTGACCAACAAACAGCACCCAGAAAGGAAGTAAACGATATTCCAACCAAGGATCTACCAACTCAGCAAATGACAGCCTGATTAAAGAACCACCAAAACACACTCACCAACACTGAGACAGCAAGTTATTTGAATATAATAGAAAGCAAACCCCTTTTCTTTGTAGCACTGATGTTATTACCTAGTTGAGAAATGAAACATATGCAAGGAAACAACCAGCCTCAGAGGGCACCAAGGACCCCACAGTCCTCCTCCTCCTCCCCTCTGCAAACCCCATTTCCTTCTAGTACTGATGGTGTTACTTAGTTGGGCCTCAGAGAGCACCAAGGACCATACAGTCCTCCTCCTCTTCCTCCTCCTCTTCCCCTCTCCTCCTCCACTCTGCAAACCTTGCTCCCTTCTAGCACTGATGGTGTTACCTAGTTGGGTAATGGAACATCTGCAAGAAGACAAACAAACTCAGAGAGCATCAAGGACCTCAAATACTATTTTAAAAAAGATACAACCCAAAGCCAAGGAAGGAAACACAGAGCTCACGACACGCCTTCAGCAGCCAACGCCCAGATCAGAAAAGAAGAGTAGTAGATAAACAGATTATCAAGGACGTGTGTCCTGATTCAAACTCTCCCAAAGAAAGAGATTTCTTTTCCAAAGGTAAGGGATCCTTTTGAAGATATGACTAAGCATTAAGGAAAGAAGGAGGGTAATATTGAGACGCTTGAACAAGACTGGACAGGTAAAGCTAGTGTTACAGGTAAAGGCTAGGGTAATCCCAGGTTTATTTTGAAGTGGCCACAATGAACTAGGACTTTTTTTTACCTAGCTAAGAGAGTCCAGGGTTAAAACAACAACAACAACAACCACCACAAAAAGCAGGGATCCAGTAAGAGGCAAAAATCAAAGGTCCAAAAAGAGAAGTTATCTGCACAACACACACTCCTGTTCTTCAATACGGCAGCTCCTCCTGCTGGTAAATTCAAGAAACAACCTTCACACTGACCCACAGGCGAAGTTCTCACTGATGCTTGGAAGAAAGCCAACGTTTAATTATGTCTTTTCAATAATAATAATAATAATAATAGAGAATGAAAAGTTCTACGTGGTACAAAATGGAGTTTCCACACGACGGAAAGCTAAAATTCCAATAATGGACAAAGATGACCAAGATACACAGGTAGGGTGGATGCTTCCTGATTATTTCTACCATCCTCTTATTGTGGATGGTCACACAGTGGCATCACCAGCTGCTGATATGCTTGGAGGACAGGCAATCCAGTGATGGCCTGTACTGAATGAATCTCCAGGATGTCTAACAGAGCTTTTTTCCCAGGAGAAGGGACATAGGTTGGCAGCACATTCCCTGTCATCCTCCCGTTTAGGGAAGTGGAGGCTAAAACATATGAAGAACAGTTGCAAGAATTGGGCATGTCCACTTTAATGAAAAGAAGAACTATGGGCCTTTGAACCAGGTTAGGGTTCAAAAGTACAACCAGTTTATTTCAGGCTACCTCTACACAATGAATCTGATCTACTAACCACATCTTCATTTAACGGCCCCCATATTGTGGAGTCTGGGCAACGGGATGGAGCTAGCAGAGCGTTTTAATGGCTGGATGCCTTCCCTGTTGCCAATGCGGAGTTCTGTTCGGCAGATAGAATCTCAGTGAGCCCAGAGAGAGAAATATATCTGCCTCTACCTAGGATCGAACTCACAGCCTCCTGATTGTGAGGTGAGAGCTCCCACCTCTAGGCCACCATGCCGCTCCAAGAATCAGGTCTACTTAATGGTCAAGGCAAACTGGCACCAGATAAGCGTCAACGGAAGCTCCGCCCTCGAGCTCACCCTGGTTGTCTCCTACACGGCCCTTGGTTTCTGTTTGAAAGGAACGTTATCGCTACTACTATGAGAGGCCTAAACA